GGGCTAATACAGGGTCCCTTTAGATAGGTTCTAGGCGACCTAAGATAGATACAATTTATAAGAATTAAATTAGAGTTAGAGCTAATACAGAGGCCTTCTAGGCTATCTAAGATGGAACAATTTATAAGGATTGTTACAAAACTATATTTATGTAAAGTGTAATATTTATATTTCTTTAATTTAAAAAACTAATAGTTAAGAAAACTTAGCTTAAAGGCTATAAGTAAAGGCATAAGCAGCCTAAAAGTAGATAACTTAAAAGGCCTCTAAAGAGGCTTTAGAAGAAGGGCAGAGTAGCATAGTAATTTTCTTTAATGCTATAATTAGTTAGTAGACTAAGCTATAAAATGTTAGGTGCATAATAATACCTACATAGTAGAGATTTAAAGAATAGCTAAAAAAAAAACTAATAACATTAACTAAACTATATAAGTAAGGTAAGCAAACACTTATTACTATAAATAATAAATTTACTATATTAATAATAACTACACTGCTAGTTACTACTAAATAAAAACATTATAATAAAGGCATTATATTAGTATTAAGTTTTTAGTCTAGTTTTTTTTAGTAATAAAAATTTTTTTATTAAAAAGTTATACTTTATTATATCTTATCTAAATTAGTTTTAAATTAGTTTTAAATATTTTCTACACACTATAAATAAAAACTATTAGCCTATAAAAAGAGGAGAGTAGTGTAATAATTCTATAAATTGTTCTATCTTAGGTTGCTTAGATCCTATCTAAAGAGTCCCTATATTAGCCCTAACTATAACTTAACCTAGTCCCCTGCAGTTACCTCTGTTCCCTTATGTATTTAGTTGCACCTTGCTTTTATAGCTAGCTTAGTAGTTTTCTAATATCCTTTTTATACAAGGCCTATAGGTGTTAATGGCATTCCTAGGTTCTAAGTCCCCACGCACTTCTATATGTCTCTAAGTGGATTCCCACCGCATTTAGACCTATTTTCTTGCCTGTGCTGTTACAATAGTCTAAGTAGACTCTATATGCTCTGTTTTTAAAGTATAAATACCTCTATTCTCTAAGTTGTATTATATGCTTTGTTTTTTTTTCTCTCTCTTTTCTGCTAATAGCTTAAGTAGTGTAACTTGTCTATTATTACTATTTCTACGCTGCCTAATTATCTATACTAAGTTATAAAATAATAGCTCTATATAGTTTTTATTATTAAAAAAGAATAGAGTGTATAGTTTTTTTATCTTCTTTTTATATTTATTATAATTAAAAATAATTACACTATACTTTTTTTATACCTAATGTAAAATAAGATTTTTTTTTAAAAGTAATAAAAAATTTTTTTTAGTCTAACTAAAAAAAAATTAGGTAGAGCTTTCTTATACTAAAGAAAAAAAGTAGTGTTAGTTGCTAATAAGGCTTGTTTTTTTAGCTTAGACTGTTTTTATAAAAAGAAGTATATAAATTTACTTAAGAAGCTTTATACTACTTACTTAAAAAGTAATAGAAAAGTAATTAATACACTTAAAGCTTTTAAGTAGAAAAAAAAGAGGTTTTATAGATAACGCTTCTAAGAACATTTCTAGCCTAGTCTATTCTTATCTTTGTAACAAGGTAGGCATAGTTAACTACGTAGCCTTCTCTTGCTTATAGAGGTTTAGGCTAGACTAGAGACAACTGCTAGTGCTAGTGCTAGCTCTAGCATTATCTATATATATATTATACTATACAAGAATACTTAACTTAAGTATTCTCGTGCGTACCTTTTAGTACAGTAGGGAAAGTTGTATAGTATTAGCTTAGCAGGCAGGGCGCCTACCTTATTACATAAGTGTAACAATTCTCATGAATTGTTCCATCTCGGGTCGCCCGGAACCTCCGGCAGGCCCTTGTATCGGCCCCGACCTCGACCTGGCCCCGACTCTGCCCGGCCCCCTGCTGTTACCCCTATTCCCTTATGTATTTAGTTGTACCTCCCCTGTAGCTAGCTTAGTAGTTTTTTAATATCCTTTGTACAAGGCCTATAGGTGTTAATAAGATTCCTAGGTTATTAAGTCCCTACGCACTTCTATATGCCTCTAAGTAGATTCCTACTGCATTTAGACCTATTGTCTTGCCTGTGCTGTTACATTATATTAAAAAACTTACTTTTACAAGTAACAGCTTTATTAATAATATTACACTATTTATTTATTTAACTACATCTAAGCCTAAGACATGTCTAATTTAGTTTAGGTTATAATACTTACACACTGTTATATTAAACTACTTAGTTTATAGATAGGATACTAGAAACTTTTTATTAACTAAAGCTTTTAGGTTTAGAACTTCTTATCTCTTATAATTAAAATTACCTTTAAAAAAGTTATATAAAATACGCTAAAGTAGAAACTAAAAGACTACTAATAACTTATTAAAATTAAAGATAACTACTAACTACTACTGCTTTGTTAATAGCTAAACTTGCTTCTATAGAACTTAAAGCTAGACCTACTTAATTTAGAGTTAATCTTTAGCAGCTAAACTAGCTAAGACTGCTAGTTAACCCCTGCAAACTGCTAAATTACCTCTAATAATGCCTTAAATTACTACTACTACTTTAGTAGTAAAAGACTTTTTAGGCACCTTTAATAATACCTAATGCTACCTTACTAAACGCACGCTTAAGATTAATAAGTGCATAAATAGCAAAGAACTAATGTTTAGATAATAGTAGGCCTAAATTAATAAGCTAGGCATTAATGTAGATTACTATTAGAGTAGGCGCACACACATAGTGTTTGTTTGAAAGGACACTGCTAGCAGTGTAAAGAAATACTTAAAGCAAGGACACCTAGTTAAATTAAACCTGTTTTAGTTTATAAAAGCAAAGAAAAGACAGTAATATTTTCTACTTTAATTACTAATAAAAACTATTAGTCTATAGAGAAGAGAGTAGTGTAACAATTCTTATAAATTGTTCTATCTTAGATTGCCTAGAACCTCTAGAAGGCTCTTGTATTAGCCCTAACCTTAACCTAGCCCCAACTCTGCCCAGCCCCCTGCTGTTACCTCTATTCCCTTATGTATTTAGTTATACCTCCTCTATAGCTAGCCTAGTAGTTTTCTAATATCCTTTGTACAAGGCCTATAGGTGTTAATGAGATTCCTAGGTCATTGAGTCCCCACACACTCCTATATGCCTCTGAGTGGATTCCTACCGCATTCGGACCCATTGTCTTGCCTGTGCCGTTACACTTAGGTTGTCTGAACCTATCTAAAGAGTCTCTGTATCAGCCCTAACTCTAACTCAGCCCTGCCTTCTGCTGTTACCTCTATTCCTCTAAGTATTTAGTTGCACCTCTTCTTTTAGCTAGCTTAGTAGTTTTCTAATATTCTTTTATATAAGGCCTATAGGTGTTAATAATATTTCTAGGTTATTAAGTCTCTACACACTTCTATATACCTTTAAGTAGATTCCTACTGCATTTAGATCTATTGTCTTACCTACACTATTATATTATATTAGAAAACTTACTTTTACTAGTAATAGCTTTATTAATAATATTATATTAATTCTTTACTTAAATATATCTAAGTCTAAGACATGTTTAATTTAGTTTAAGTTATAATACTTATACATTAATATATTAATTATTTAGTTACTATAAATAGAAATTTAAAAACCTTTTATTAACTAAAGCTTTTAAGTTTAGAACTTCTTATTCTTTATAATTAAAATTACCTTTAAATAGTTATAAAAAGTGCGCTAAGGTGTAACAATTCTTATAAATTGTTTTATCTTAGGTTGCCTAGAACCTATCTAAAGGGTCCTTGTATCAGCTCTAACTCTAACCTAGCCTTGATTCTACCCTGCCCTCTAGTTACTCTTATTCCTCTAAGTATTTAGTTGCACCTCTTCTCTTAGATAGCTTACTATTTTTCTAATATCCTTTTGTACAAGACCTATAGATGTTAATAGAATTCCTAGGTTTCTAAGTCTCTATGTACTCTTATATGCTTCTAAGTATATTTATACTGTATTTAAACCTATTGTCTTGCCTATGCTGTTATATTATATTAACAAACTTACTTTTGCTAGTAACAGCTTTATTAATAATATTATATTATTTATTTATTTAACTATGTCTTAGCCTAAAACATGTTTAATTTAGTATAGATTATAATACTTACATACTATTACATTAAATTATTTAGTTATATAGATAAGATATAAGAGACTTTTTATTAACTAAAGCTTTTAAGTTTAGAACTTTCTATTCTCTATAATTAAAATTACCTTTAGAAAAGTTATATAAAGTACGCTAAGTTAAAAACTTAGAGACTACTAATAACTTACTAGAATTAGAAATAACTACTAATGCCTAACTCTTAACTACTAACCTCTAACTTTTAACTACTAACTACTACTTTAACAACAGCTATGTAACAACCGGCTATCTAGGTAGGGGGGCACGCAAGCGTTTAGTTTAGAGGACACTGCTAGCATTGTAAAGGAATAATTAGAGTAAGAACACCTAGCTAAATTAAACTAGTTTTAGTTTAAAAAGGCAAAGAACACAATAGCAATACTTTCCTACTATAATTACTGCTAATAGAGACTATTAGTTCTATAAAGAGAGGGGTAGTGTAATAATTTGCACAAATTGTTCTATCTTAGCAAACTAACATTTAAAGGTTCCCTGTATCAGCTCTAACCCCACCCTGGCCTCTGCTGTACTCCTATTCCCCTAAGTATTTAGTTGCACCTCTCCCCTGTAGCTAGCTTAGTAGTTTTCTGATATCCTTTGTACAAGGCCTATAGGTGTTAATAGCATTCCCAGGTTTCTAAGTCCCCACACACTCCCATATGCCTCTAAGTGGATTCATATCGCATTCGGACCATTGCCTAGCCTGTGCCGTTGCAATTGTCCCAACAAATGACAAATGGCGAGAGGAACTGGTTTATATCATCCCTGAGCTCAAGCAACATTTAGTGCAGATGATCCTCTGAGGGATTAGTCCACAGCAATTGAAAGAGATGAAAGGAAGTAAGAGTCTTTGTTTCTTTCGAAAGTGTATATAAATAGAGTACAACCCACTGTTAATGTAGAACGAATGCAGAGTCTTGAGGAAAATAAGATAACTTCCAGCTGTATCGACATCAATCTTAACGGCCATTAACGATAAAAGGCTATGGGAACATGACTACTTACTATCTCCGGTATGTTTTCGGGGTTGAGAACCTTAGGAGTGCCATATTTGACTAGATTTGTGCTATTTTCACGGTTTCTATAGAAGTTAGGCTCGGTTTCCCAAGGTGACATGAAATCGGACCGGTCTCATATGTTCAGCATCATTTTCCCGGTTATCTTCCCGCGCCTCCCTGAGCATGCTGTCGATTCCCCGAGCTTTCAAAGCTTTCTGTACGCAAAGTCAGCCTCAAATCCGAAGCCTGGCCCAAAAGAGGCATTCTTACGGATAGACATTGCTCGTACTGCTTGAACAAAGACTCGCACTCATCGGAGGTCGCAGTGCCGCGAAGGAACTCTGGAAAGAATTAGAGAGAACAGCCCTTAAATTACAAAAAGGTCGTTTACTTTCACTGTACCACTTCAAGAAGCAGTTGTCGTACTGCCTGCAAACTCATTAGGCGAGCGAAGGATGGCAACGGGGGACAAGCGTACTCTTTGACTTGGTTGCATTCTGGTGCTAACGATGCCGACATGATATCTAGAATCCGAACGAGGACCCACTTTTGAAGGTTGATGGTGATACTTCGACTGCTCGTGTGAGAGGGCAGGTGGAAGCAATAAAACGCCTTATCGATAAGACAGTCCCATGCCAAGATCTATCTCAAAGTTCTTTCAAACAATAGCTCGAATCTACATTCCTCTCTCCTCAACCTACGGACGCCTCTTGCACCGGCAAGAAGATGCTTGAATAACTTGCATATCACATTGTATCAGGAGAATCTTCCGCTAGTAGTTCAGCCATGGATTCGTTCAAGTCGCTCCAAGACAGCATCTCGGCCGCACTCGTTTCAACCACGCGCTCCGCGACCCAGATCGGTGCCGCAGATATACCTTTCCAACGCTCCCTCGACCCTGCGCTAGGGAATGCGCTCGACGAGCAGAATGCGCGGCTTCTTCAGCTCGCCCAACGCCTTCTGGAGAACGCTGCAGCGAGCTCGGACGCTGTAGGTCCTCGGTTACCCGACGTCGAAGCCATCGACAGCAATTGGAGGGGTGTCGTTGATGTTGTCGACAGCTTACTTGAGAAGGCTGACACAAGCCTTGATGAGTATACTGGAGTGGTCAAGCGACTGAGTCCTTCTGTGGACCAAGTATGCACTCTACAACCTCCATAACCTTACAACTCTTGACTCATCGCAATGCAGTCCGCAACGGCTCCAAAATCGCACTTTAAGAATGCACCGAGGAATTTCCAGAAACCCCAACTATCCTTCGAATATGTGCCCCAAAACAACGACACTGGCGGCTTTAAACCCTTGATGACGTCCAAGCCTCATGCAAAGGTTCCAATTGAAGATTGCCTGAAAACATTCAAGGACAGCAACGACCGCGAACAGTGCGTTCTGAGTCCTCGATACTTCCAGAATGCAAGTGTACTGAAATTGCTGCAGATACCCTCATCCCTACCGAACTGAAATTGAGACGTACGAATACCCCCCGTCCATGTATCAAACAGCCGAGCCTATACCATACAGCCCCTTTGAGTCCTCTATAGCTACATTCGTCGATACCCCTGAAGCCCTTGCCATGATGTTAGCCGAACTTAAGACCGCTAGAGAGATTGCCATAGATCTGGAACATCACGACAACCGATCCTACATTGGCATCGTATCGTTAATGCAGGTTAGCACACGAAATAAAGACTGGATTGTAGATACTCTTAAGCCCTGGAGACGGCGACTTGAGTGCTTGAATGAGGTGTTTGCGGATCCTAACGTTCTTAAGGTGTTACACGGAGCATACATGGACATTGTGTGGTTGCAACGGGATCTCGGCCTCTATATTGTTGGACTGTTCGACACCTTCCACGCCGCCAGAACTCTAGGGTACACGGGAGCGAGCTTGGCATTTCTGCTCGATCATTTCGTGGACTTCAAGGCGCAGAAGCAGTATCAGATGGCAGATTGGCGGGTACGGTATGATTTATCCTTCCTGCACCACCAACGTAAGGCTTGCTAACATACTCTTAGCCCTCTGTCTGATGAGTTGTTTACTTACGCAAGGGCGGATACCCACTTTCTTCTCTACATATTCGATAATATGCGAAATGAGCTTATTGCAAAGTCCGACTTTTCAGACCCGGAAAAGGACAAAGTTCTCGATGTCCTCAACAAATCCCGTGAAACGGCTCTCCAGCGTTACGAGTATCCTATCTATGACGTTGAGCTAGGCCTTGGTCCAGTCGGTTGGTACAGGCTCCTCACCCGCACACCTGTTCAGTACACACCTCAGCAGTTTGCCGTCTTCAAAGCGGTTCACAAATGGAGAGACGATGTCGCCCGCCAGGAGGACGAGAGCACAGTTTTTATCATGCCGAACCACGCCATATTCTCAGTTGCGCGTACACTGCCGGAGGACAAAGCGGCGCTCTTCAACGTTACCCATCATGTTTCACCAATTCTCCGCGCACGGGCAGATGAACTAGTGAGGGTCATTACCATGGCGAAAGCTGCAGGCGAAGACGGGCCTGATATGAACGAGACAATTAAGAAAATTGAGGAAATCAAAGGTTCTAGGAAAGCCCAGTTACAGCATGCTTCAAACATGGATGTTGACCCCATTCCTGCCTCAGCTCCGGCTCCGGTTCCAGCTCTGCAGCAGGCTCCTTTTGTTGCCACACTTGACAATCCACCGCTCCGCGCACAGACATCGGCATTTTGGGGTGTGCTGTGGTCTCAAGCAACCACAGAGCAGCGACAGCCTGTTTCGACCCTTTCAGTTAGCCTTGCACTCCCCTTACCACCACTTACAGCAGAAATCTTTGCCGATACGGCCGAAGATAGTATGCTAAATGTTGAAAGACCACAACATGCCTTCGTCCTTAAGAAGGAGCGACCTGTAGAGGATCTAAATGATGACATCTTTATCGTGAGGCATGTTGGCGGTCGGAAAAGAACTCGTGCAGAAGAGCCTGCGGCCTCAGAGGATATTGCAGGGGGCAACGAGATCGATGCCGATCAAATTATGCTAGAACTGGGGGACCTGAGATTCCGCAAGAAGAAAGAAAAGAAAGCACGTAAGAAGGCTCTCAAGAAACAGAGCGCCCTAGCCCAAACATCAAGCACCGCAGACTGTCTGAACTACGACGACGAACCAGCATTCGATTATGCAGCTGCACCATCAGTACTCAATGCGCAAGGTATGGATGCAGACCAGGCGCGGAATGGAAAGAAAAGGAAAGATAAGAAGATAAAGAATCAGGGGTTCAATCCGTATGCAAAATTGCAAGATGTATCGAAGGGTTTGCCTCGCAGTCAGAAGGAGAGTGCAGGGCGAAGTAAAACTTTTACATCGTAATCGGATTATGATCTTGGGAAGTTGGCGCATGGTGGTAATGATAAGCACTTAGTGTTGGTCTTGTACTACTATCACTTCCAGTCCTTTCCTACATCATGCATGAAATTCAAGGTTCAAAGAGTCTATCGCCTATTCAAGGTTTTCCAAGATCTCTCCGTCCTGTTCAGTGGTTTGTAAGTTGTGACCTTTCCGCTCAAACAAGTGTTCCATCCAAAGCCCTGTAGAAAAACCCAAAATTTCCAACACCGTCTTTCCCTCCCTGTTCCTTTCTAGCATTATCCAGGATTGCGAAGACTACATCCTCCCACCATCCACCTTGGAATTCGTGCTCCTGAAACACTTCCAGAAAGCACTGCGCTACTTCCCGAGGCGGGTTCCCAAATGCACCACAACCAAGGGCGCCAAGAACTAACTTGCTATGACCCTGGTGCACCGCTACTCGAAGAATAACACGAATCTTGTTTTTCATCATGTCCTTATCCTGCGCGTACCTGTAGGTCCCATCTCTCGTCAACTCCGGACGCCGTAGCGCTGCCATGGTGATGACGGCTGTCACCGGTAAGTTTTGTGCGGGAGTGTCGGGCCAGATGAGGCCGTGGCCGCGGGACATAGCTTCGCGTATTAGGAGAACCAAAGGGGAGTAGATGGCTCCGAGGGCAGGGATGGGATAATAGTGTTCGTGGAGAGTCACAGAGAGCGAAGAGCGGAAACAGAGAGCTTCCTCTTGAGCTAGGGCGCCATTGAGCCAGCCACCGCCGGGGTGGCGTTCAGAGGCTAGGTTGAGGATGGCTACCGGTTTGGGGATCATGGGATTCTTGGATGTGGAAGGTTCGGTCGTTTGTGTTGCGATCGCCGCGGGGTCAAGGGTAGAGTCTTCAGACTGAGTGACTGATGTAGGAGCTGATTTATTCATAGGTGGACTCAGGGAGCTGAACGTAAATCCAGGTTGCAAGTCCAATGCCGCATCGAAAGTATCTTGGTCGTAGACTCTGATGCGTGTCCCTCTAGTCCCAGCCTCGGGGTCATCCTCTGGAAGCCTATAGCCTGGACAATCTTTCGGATCCAGTTGGGTCAGGGTACGCTTGTGATGAAGGGAAGACGCTGTTGTGTTCCATGAGTCCAGCTGAGATAGAATAGTCGGCAAGAGTGATCTAGTTTCTGAGGCTATGCCCCGGAGCTGGTTGCGGCGCTGTAATGCGGCTGCAGACATTCTAATAATCTTGCGGATAAGATTGATCGAAAAGGAAGATCTTGGAGTTGAGGGTTTAGGAAGAGTGTAAGAGAGGAAGCACGTAGAATGTCGTCAAGACATATTTGTGGATACGAGATATGCACTTTGAGCTGCGAGGACCTTTGAACGCCACGGAACCAGGCAGCAGTTAAAGAGTCACAGCATTAGACGAGAGGAATAAGTGGATCATATCCAGGCGGAAGTTTCATTGCCAACTTAATGGCAGTAATCAAGAAACGAGCGACGCTGTGGCTGAACGCACCTAGGTGGTCATCAGTGCCAGAATTCGTGAGGACCGAAAATGTGAAGTCAGGGTTCAGCCCTACAATGAGGCCCGTGCGGCACCGCCCCACATTGGTAGGCGATCACCAGAAATGGCAGCGTGCTTGGCTGCGTTTTCCGACAACCTTCACCTCCACAACCATTCATCTCTCAACCATCTTACGTCTGGGGGGCCTATACCGCTACTACTTATTCTACATCGGCCATAGCAGGCAGCGATGCCTCCGACACAACTCTCCGCCATCTACCCCTCCCCCAAGCGTAAACGCGACCCGCCGCCGTTCGTCCCGCTGCTAAACACAACTCCTCGGCCAACATCTACACCGCCAAGCAGCAGTCCCATGCCGTCTGGAGCCGATAGCCCTAGGACTGCAGTCGCAGACCAGCTGAGAGACATGACCATTCACCATGCGATTCCTATGGCCCCGCTTACACCCACCGACGATATTGTACGCAAGAAGCTAAAGCTGGAAGTTGCGCGGGAGGACAGCAGGACATCATTAGAGGACTTTAGGGGCTTAGATGTAGGGGTAGACGAGAAAGAGAGGGGGCTGTATATTACGGATACGTGGGTGACTGGGAAGGACTACACCTCAGAGTCATCCGAAAAGCAAAGTCAGGAACCCCGCATATGGTCAGACTTAATGGGTTTTGCGAAACCAACAACATTCGCGTCGTCCTCCGCCACAACACTAAAACCGCAATCCTCGATATCAAATCAATTTTCAAAAAGCAAAAATCGCTCTTCACAAGGCCGCCCACGGAAAAAGTCACCCTCGCCGCAGTCGGCATCGCTCACGTGGCAAGATAGTGAGATTACCGGCCATCTTGTGGATCCATCTACGGATCCAGATGATGATGGAACTGGCTTGAATGGTATTGGATTCAAGCCTACGCCTGCGTTGGCATACGCACGTGCCCAGAGGAGAAGGCAGCAAGTGATGGATTGGCGGGCAAGGGAGGCCAGGGAAGCGAGGGCCAAGAGAAGTGAAAGGAGACAGAGAGGCATTGGCTTAGGGAGCAGCTCAAGAGAGAGCACCGTGGAGAGAGAAGCAAATATTAAAGACGTAGAGCTGACAAGGAGAGTCGTGAGATTCGCAGCCTGATACATAAGAAGAGTTGGATACACGGGTTGTTGATGGAGGCTTCCAATCGATGACATGTGTCTCTTCGGTATGATCTTACGATGCCATGGTATGAGTAATGAGCTAGGATAATCTTGGGAAGCTGAATCGGTATCGCGCTCTCGGATGGTAGGATGCCATGGTCTAAGTTTTTCAAGAACACGATTTGGTACGATACGATACGATACGTTGATGGGGACTGGGTGGAGGTGGTTCGGTGGCTCCGAATTCGCATATATTACAAATTTTCATACACGATCCTGTATATAGGGCTGAATATACTTTGGAATACCAGCCTACTGCAACCCCAATCCTACCAAAACCGGGTATTGGTCTTGAACCAATAACTCCACGACGTCCGCCTCTCTTCTTCCTTCCGTCTCTCCTCTTCTAGCCGTTCCTGATCTTCCCTGGCTTTTCTCCTTGCCTCACGTTTTGCCTCGAAGTTTGCGCGTTTCTGCTCCATGAGGTCCCGCGCCATTTGCATGCCCTTCTTCTCTCTACTACGCTGGTATTGACAGTATTGATATGAAACACATGAAACGCCGACCCAGCTGAAGACAGCGTAGTGGCAGCACATCATTACCGGTCCTAAAAGCCGATTAGTTTTGCTCTTTCGACTTCAAGAAGCCCGAGAGCCGTACTTCGTAGTATTGCCGCAAGTCCCATTCCTACGAACCCGGCTCCAATGCCCATTAGCTGACTGTCTCGTACACAAGGCCTTTTGTGGAAATTCAGGTAATATTCTGGTCCGAGAGATTTTACGGCGTCAACATAGGAGGGCTCGTAGTCGGCGGGGATCCCCCCTGCGGTATGTGCGGTGCCCCCAGGCATGATATTTGCAGGACCTTTCGGAACAGGGCGAGCATTTTGGGGAGAGGAAGAAGATTGCCGGGTGTCATCTGCCATTGTGAAATGTGAAGACTGTTGGGGTGGGGATGTTCTCGATCTGTGAAGAAGTGGAGGAGAGTTGAAGTTTGCTAGGTATTGGAGGAAACTAGCTAGGGATACCCGCCTTCCACGCTTCGAGGAAACAGGGCACGAGGCAGTTGAGAGAGTAATTGGCCGTGATTGCGGGAGTGGAGGCGGCTTAGCTGTTGTGGAGTCGGTTGACAGTGACGGTCGCGTTATGGATATTTTTCGGCTCAGCTTACTTGCACTAGCCACAAGTTGTGGCGTTCCTGACCCCCTATCAGCTGTCCGCTATCCTCGGTCCTCTTGCCACTCAAGCCACATTAATTAAGGAAAGCCCTAGACACGGTACGCGACGCGACGCGCTCTTACCACTTCCATATCCCAACCTTCAATCACCCTACAGTCAACATCGCACGCTTGCCACACTAAATATCCCATTCTGTTCGTTTCGATGCTCTAATTGTCCAAATGGTATCTCAAATCCCGTAGAATACCTTCGAACGCCTTCAACCCTCTCTCCTAGCCTGCCATGGCCCCTCGTCGCGGAGGCCAACCCTATCGCCGAGGAGGCAAACTCGGCAACACCTCCTACAGCTCTCGAAAACCGAAAACGGTTGACGCGTCGACACTCCGCAGCACAGAAGCCACCTCACAGAACGAAAAGATAGAAGCAACACGCCTCGCAAGTCGTATTGATGAGTCCATGGGCTTTCCCCGCTACGAGGCGGGGAGAAAGAAAGTAGGATGGCTCTGTAACATGCATTCGACAAGCGTAGAAGATGAGAACGTACCCGGGGGAAGAGCTGGGGTGGACTACTATTTCATTGAAGAAGACGGCGGAACGTTCAAGGCAACGCTGGAGTACGATCCGTACTTTCTGCTGGCAGTGAGGAAGGGAAAAGAGCCAGAGGTTGAGGAATGGTGCAGGAGAAGTTTCGAGGGATTAGTGAAAGCTGTAAAGAGGGTTGAGAAGGAGGACCTTTCTATGCCAAATCACCTCCTCGGATATCGGAGAACGTTCCTCCAGCTCGCATTTGTGAACGTCAACGACCTTCTGGCGGTGAGAAAGGTGGTAAATCCAGTAGTGGATAAGAACAAGAAGAAGATGGATGCCATGGATACATATGCTGAAGTTGCCAGGTACGTTAATTGCCACACCCACCTATTCAGGAGTTACTAATACCCAGCAGCGCAAACGCGGGTTTTGACATTTTTGATGACCAAGAACATGAGAACCGACTTAGTGGAGCGACTGATGCAAGCGATTTTATTTTAGATATTAGGGAATACGATGTTCCCTATCATGTCCGGGTCGCCATCGACAAAGGCAAGTCAATTGAAAAACAGCTTTTAAATCTTGGGCTAATGCATTAACAGACATAAGAATTGGAAAATGGTATACGGTTGAGGCAAAGCACGGGGTGATTTCCATGACTTGCATAGAAGAGCGACTCCAGCGAGCGGATCCAGTGGTTATGGCATACGATATTGAAACAACCAAACTTCCCCTGAAGTTCCCGGACGCAGTCATTGACCAGATTATGATGATTTCATACATGATCGATGGGCAAGGTTTCTTGATTACTAATCGAGAGATAGTGTCTGAGAACATTTCTGATTTCGACTACACACCAAAGCCCGAGTACGAAGGACCCTTTATCGTCTTCAACGAGCCAGATGAGAAAGCACTGATAGAACGATTCTTTGAGCATATCAAAGAGGCCAAACCCACAGTAATGGTTACATACAATGGCGACTTCTTCGATTGGCCGTTCGTAGAAGCAAGAGCCAGTGTACTGGGAATCGATATGTACCAAGAGATTGGTTTCAGGAAGAACAGCGAGGATATCTATCAATCCAATTACTGTGCTCATTTAGACGCTTTTGCTTGGGTCAACCGAGACAGTTACCTTCCCCAGGGTAGTCGAGGGTTGAAAGCAGTAACCGTCGCAAAGCTGGGCTATGATCCTGACGAGTTGGACCCCGAATTGATGACACCGTAAGTAAGAACTAGGAGAGTTTGATTTCTGCTAACAGAAACAGCTATGCGAGCGAACGACCTCAAACGCTCGCAGAATACTCGGTCTCCGACGCTGTGGCAACCTACTACCTGTACATGAAATATGTCCACCCTTTCATCTTCTCCCTGTGCACTATTCTTCCATTAGCACCGGACGATGTTCTGCGCAAGGGCACTGGTACGCTTTGCGAGATGTTGCTCATGGTGCAGGCTTATCAGAAGGGAATTGTGCTCCCAAACAAGCACCAAGCTCCCAAGGAGGCATTCTGGGACGGCCATTTGCTCGAATCTGAGACCTATGTCGGAGGTCACGTCGAAAGTATCGAAGCTGGCGTCTTTCGAAGCGACATCCCGTGTAACTTCGCAGTGGATACGACAGCCATTGATGAATTGCTGGAGGATCTTGATGCTGCATTGAAGTTCAGTATCACTGTCGAGGAAAAGAAAAGGCTTGAAGATGTAGCCAACTACGACGACGTTAAAGCACAGATTGTGGAAAAGCTCAATCAGCTCAAGGAAACTCCGAATAGAAGCGAGCCGCCTCTAATATACCATTTAGACGTAGCGTCTATGTATCCGAACATCATGACGACAAATCGACTTCAGCCTGACTCTATGATTCAGGAATCAGATTGTGCTGCATGCGACTTCAATAGGCCAGGGAAGACCTGCGACCGACGGATGCCTTGGTCGTGGAGGGGAGAGTTCCTTCCCGCCAAACGAGATGAATACAATATGATTCGGCATGCTTTGGAGAACGAGAGGTTTCCTGGAAAGTACACCAATTCTCTATCGCGAACGTTCCAGGAGCTGTCAATGGATGAGCAAGCATCTCTGGTAAAGAAACGATTGCAAGAATACAGCAAGAAGATTTATCACAAGATCCACGACACGAAAACGATCGAACGTGAGGCAATTATTTGCCAACGTGAAAATCCGTTCTACGTCGACACCGTCAAGGACTTCCGAGACCGAAGATACGATTTCAAGGGGAAGCAGAAAGTGTGGAAGGGGAAGACCGACGCGCTGAAGTCCGCCGGGGCACCTGCTGGAGAGATTGATGAAGCGAAAAAGATGATTATTCTTTTCGACTCCTTGCAGCTTGCCCATAAGGTCATTTTAAACAGTTTCTACGGCTACGTAATGCGAAAGGGGTCTAGATGGTACTCCATGGAGATGGCGGGTGTCACTTGCTTAACCGGCGCCAAGATCATTCAAATGGCCCGACAACTCGTAGAAAGGATCGGACGGCCGCTTGAGCTGGATACCGATGGTATCTGGTGTATTCTCCCAGCGACATTTCCAGAGAACTTTGCTTTCAAACTCAACAACGGAAAGAAAGTTGCGATCTCATATCCCTGCGTTATGTTGAATCATCTTGTTCATGCAAAGTTTACAAATCACCAGTACCAGACTCTGGCAGATCCAGCGACCTTCCGGTATGAAACCCATAGCGACAACACCATCTTCTTTGAAGTCGATGGACCGTACAAGGCCATGATACTACCCACTTCCAAGGAAGAAGACAAGAATTTGAAGAAGCGATATGCTGTCTTCAACCACGACGGAAGCTTGGCTGAATTGAAGGGTTTCGAAGTGAAGCGAAGAGGAGAGCTGAAGCTCATCAAGATATTTCAGACTCAGATCTTCAAGTTCTTCTTGGAGGGTACAACGCTTGCAGAGACTTATGGATCTGTCGCGAAGGTCGCCAATCAATGGCTCGATGTCCTAGACTCTCGTGGATCTACACTTGCGGATGAGGAGTTGATTGACTTGATTTGCGAGAACAAGAACATGACGAAGACTCTGGAGGAGTATGGAACTCAGAAATCGACCGCCATCACCACAGCGAAACGTTTAGCAGAGTTCTTAGGCGAGCAGATGATCAAGGATAAAGGTTTGAACTGCAAGTACATCATTTCCTCTCGACCCAAACACGCGCCTGTTACCGAACGTGCTATCCCGGTCGCGATTTTCTCCGCCGAGGAGTCGGTAAAGCGATTCTTCTTGAGAAAGTGGCTTCGCGAAGACCCAGGGGAAATGGATCCTAGAGTTGTTCTTGATTGGGGTTATTACACAGAGCGTTTGGCCTCTGTCATTCAGAAACTCATCACCATCCCTGCTGCCCTTCAAAAAGTCAGCAACCCTGTCCCAAGGGTACCACACCCGGAATGGTTGGATCGCCGAATACGGCAGAAGGAGGATAAGCTTCAGCAGAAGAAAATGACCGACATGTTTGCCAAGAAGGCCTTGACTGATGTGAACACCAATGTATTGGGTAATAGAATCGCGAGCGATTTGGAAGACTTCGGTTCCTCGAAGCTGTCGCCAAATTCGCAGGTCAAGAAGGGCCTAATCACGAAGATGGTCTCGAAGAGAAAGGCACCAGAGTCCGCTGTGCTGGTCCAGACGGACCCATATGCCACCCTCCCCAAGATCATGCCATCCATCACAGAAGACTATTCCAGTTGGCTCCAGTACCAGAAACAGAAATGGAGGATCCAAAAACAAGCTCGGAAACGTCGGCGACAGCTGTTTGGAGAGAAGCCAGTCGATGTCTCTGATGCGATTGGCACTCTCTTTCGGAACCAAGCCGAGCTTCTCTTCATTAGCACGTGGCAGATTATTCAACTTCGGTTAACGGACACTCCTGGAGAGGTCAGAGCATTTGTTTTAATCGACAAGAAGATCCATACGCTTAAGGTCATTGTTTCTCGACAAATTTACCTTAACCTAAGAGGCGAGGATTTACCGGACGTGTCCATCGCTGGATGCACCGTAGACAAGGTTATAAACCATACACTACCAAATGGCCATCCTTCCATCCATCTCTTCAAGCTGCAAATGTCCGAAGAAACATACGTCCACGAATCGAAACAGCTTACGGCACTTTTCAATCACTCAAGTGTGGAGGGAATCTACGAGAAGCAGGTGCCTCTGAACATTCGAGCCATCCTCCAGCTTGGAAGTACCTGTACTTTTGATGAGACGCAGAAAGGTGTACTCGGAAAGGGTTTGGAGCAAGGATTCGACTTATCTAGTCTACGGCGTGTGCAATCGCAAAAGCCTTACCTATCTGAAGCATCGATTACTTATCTCTATCTGTACCATGTCAACAGCGGAGACCGAAACATATACGCGCTATTCTCTACTTCCAAGGATAACGCCCACATTATCATCCAAAACAAATCGAAGGATACTTCAGGGATGCCGAATGTCGATCGCATCTACAAGGATGCTCTGAACAGGCGTTTAGAGGACAACAATTATGAGCCATGGCAAACGTGTGTAGGATACCAGGACGATATACACTTTCGGACTGTCCATGTGACAACGAAGCGGAAAGCACTGCTCGAGATTGGCGATGCTCTTAAGAAAATGAAGGCAGAAGAGGGCAAACCAGTTATTGTGGTTATACAGTCGCCGAACCATACCTTGCTATCACACGAGATCCCGCCAGTAAGAGACCTACCCATTTTATCCCTTCACCCAGACGAATCAGACAAACAACTACCACCGCTGGGATGGCAGTCCTTCATCGCTAAGCGAGTAGTGGGCCATTACTTAGATCTTGGGTCCTGGATTGCTCATCTCATGGAGCTCGCCAGATATGGAGATATTCCTCTTTGCAACTTGGAAAGCAACGACCCGCGGTTCTTGATCGACATAGCTTATGCTAGACGACTTCAGAAAGAGAAAGTGGTCCTTTGGTGGTCCGGCACCCCCAAGCCAGATCACGCTGGATATGAAATGGACGATATTTTGGCACCCCTTGAAGCTGTTGAGATGCCCTCCGTCAACAACCCTGGAACGTACTCTTCGGTCTGCATAGATCTGACCTTGCGTAATCTTGCTATCAACACTGTTCTGTCTTCATCTTTGATCAATGATCTAGAAGGCTCTAACTCAGTCTCTTTCAACCCTGCAGCACCTTCATATGATGCCGCGAATGATGGCACAAATGTCATCTACTCCGACAACGCATTTTCCACAGCTGGGATCACAGTCTTGCGAGAGATGGTGAAAGCTTGGTGGGGCGAGGCTGAACGGGGCGACTACATGGCTGATGTGATGGTCCAGCACCTAGTTCGATGGGTTGGCAGCCCAGGCTCCTTTCTCTATGACTGGTCGCTCCACTACTACGTCCAGATGATGTCGCGCAAAGCTCTCCAGCAGCTGATGGCCGACTTTAAACGTGTTGGATCACATATCGTCTTTGCTGGCCCGAACCGTCTTCTTCTACAGACGTCAAAGGCCGAGGTTGGAAATGCGTACGCATACAGCCACTACATCCTCAAGACTATCCAAGCGAAGCCTCTCTTCCAATTCCTAGACCTCGAAATCAAGGAGTACTGGGATTACCTCGTGTGGTATGACGAGTTCAATTACGGTGGGAAGGGCTGCCAAAAGGTTGTTGAGGTTGAGAACCAAACCCTGGACAACATCAGGTGCTGGCAATTTGCACAATTCCTCCCTCCCAATCTTCAGCCAGTATTCCATGATTGGGTCATTAAGTTCATAGAACTAATGCACGCAAGGAAACGTCCTGGTGCCGTAGACGGATCAACGCCTCGCCTAACACAAATTCCTCTCCGGCCACTGACCGTTGACCCAACGGAAGCTACTCAGATCCTGCCGAAGAGCTTTACGAAGCCGTTGTTAAAGCAAATCTCGTCTCTGCTGCGCCGTCAACACAACGAACTCCTACATCCTGATCTTGCCTCTGACTACATCTTCCCACAACTTCCAGGCTCACATCTCAATCTAACAAACCCTGTCCTCCAACTTGTCAAATCGATCATGCAAGTCTTGAGCTTAGACCGCGCTATCACACTTGAAGCACGTTTGTTGAGGAAAGAGTTGCTAAATCTGTTCGATATCCGTGAATTCAGTGCAGATGCGAGTTTCGCGAACCCAAGTGCGGCTTTATATGTCCGAGGTGTGATCTGCGAAGAATGCACATCATCCCGCGACCTCGACCTCTGCCGCGACTCTGCTCTTCTCCCCGCATCTCTTCCCAACCCATCAGACCTATCATCCGGACTACCACTACCAAAGTGGAAGTGTGACAATTGCAATTCAGCATATGATAAGCTCCGTATCGAGGAAGAGCTCATCTCCGAGGTCCAGAAATTGGTTCTGGAATGGTGCACCCAGGACTTGAAGTGTGGAAAGTGTGCACGACTGAGGAGTAATGAGTTTATGGAGCATTGTTCGTGTTCGGGAGAGTGGGTGGGGACGAGGAACAGAACGGAAGTGCGGAGGGCGTTGGAGGTTTACGGAAATGTGGCGGGTTTCTATCAATTGAGGATGTTGGAAGCTGTTGTGCAGGAGTGCCTTAAGGGTTTCTGAGCTGGGGTTTACGCAATGTGCTGATAACTAATGTTTGGATGACCTTTTGGTGTTTATCTTCGAAGCGATCTACGGCATTCGTCATTTGCATTTGCGGGCGTTTATAGCGTTTACACGAGGAGAAAGCATAGCGGATAGCTTTTTACATTATTTGATTCCGATATCACAATTCCCCAAATGTTAAATGGGTTTCTAATCAGCACCTATTCTTCCTCCCCCCCAGTAGCCCCAAATTTCCGAGACATTCAATATCTGTTTTCAGTCACCCCTGGAACTACAAATATTGCATATCGTCGATCTTCAATGGTCTGATAGGTCCAGCGTTGCCGAGGTGGTCAAAACAAAGGTAGCGTTACAGACAAAGATAGCCAATATGGCGGGGTCGAGTATTCAGGGACCTAAGCACGCCATCGAGTCTAATATCACAACAGGAAGTTGATTCACCAACTCCAAGTGTTGCGATGCCGGACCCATGGGCCTTGGAATTGGGTAATGGTAGGTTATGGGGGATATAGAAATAATTCCCAGTATCCCATTTTCTTCGTCTAAAGATCCTGTGAATGAGCCACGGACAGCAAGCATCTCAATTGAAATCTTTCAATCTGCCTCCTGACACCTTCTTTTACTCTAATACCTTACAACTGATATTCACAATTCTTGTCTCTATCAATCAAGTACCATAATGGCACCAGCCCACACAACCTACCTCCCCACTCCTTCCCACCAAATCTCCTCTACCTCAAATAATAAGGCTTCAAAAGCCATTTTCCCCGACGGCATCAAAACATCTGGTCAACATGCACCCCTATACGACCAATTACGCCCATATTCTGAATTCCCAAAAGAGATAGCCGGCCCCACAGTCTGGAAAGCAGAGGACTACACCCACAACCCGGAACGCTGGACGCACCCATTCTCACCCTCTGAGATCCAAGAAATGAGCTGCGCAGCAGACGCATTCTTGGCCTCTGGCACCCCTCTCACGGGCATAACGAAAGAAACCTTTTCCCTACCAAATTTTAGAAAATTCCTCGAGGGCATGCGGAATGAGCTGCTCAACGGTAAAGGCTTCATACTCTTCAAAGGCATGCCAGTCCAGGAATGGGGAAACAAGAAATCCGCCGTCGCATACATGGGTCTAGGGACCTATCTAGGTTATTTGGTGTCCCAAAACGGTCGCGGGCATGTGTTAGGGCATGTTAAGGACTTGGGGGACGATGCCACGCAGATCGATAAGGTGCGGATATATCGGACGAACGCGCGGCAGTTTTTCCACGCCGATGATAGTGATATCGTCGGGTTGCTTTGCGTGGCCCGTGCGTTGGATGGAGGGGAAAGTGATATTGTGAGTAGTCATCATGTATGGAATACACTTCAGAGGGAGAATCCAGATGTGGCGGAGGAATTAACGAAGCCCTTGTGGTATTTTGACAGGAAAGGGGAGACGAGCAAAGGGGAGGAGGAGTGGATCAAGACGAGTGTGTTTTATCTCGAGAAGGGAGAAAATCCAAGGGTATATTCAAAGTAAGTTGTCCTGTTCTCTTCCCTTCTTTTCTCCTAGAATACCTTTAGGGTCAGTCATATGTCGCTGATAAGTTGATTCCCAGATGGGACCCCTACTACATCCGCTCCCTAACCCGCTTCTCCAACGCCGGGATCATTCCTCCTCTCTCGCCAGCTCAAAAACGCGCTACTACCGTCTTAGAAGAAACATGCCTCCACCTCGCATTGCACATGATCCTCGAAATTGGCGATATTCAGTTTTTGTCTAATTGCCATGTTCTACATGCTCGCACGGCGTATAAGGACTATCCAGCGCCAGCGCCCAGGAGGCATTTGATGAGGCTGTGGTTGAGCACCCCAGAAGACGAAGGAGGCTGGAAACTGCCGTTCCACGATTCGGCGGAGAAGAAGAGGGGAGGTATTCAGGTCGATGATACGCCGCCTGTGGCGCCTGAAGATGCGGAGTAGACAGCAAGGCATCGTAGAATGGGGAGTTTTTGTCTCTTTAATCTTATTTCAATTGTAAAATGGAGGAGACATTGTACTTTATGCATCTCTCTCGTGTAAAAGGACAGGAGAAGCCTCGAGCCGATTCAGGTCCTCTTTCTTTAGTGCACCCAGCCTACCTGCCAGGCCCGAAGCTTATCTCAAGATGTCACCTGAATGCTGCCTGACTTGCAGGCTAAGAATATGAACCAGTTTGTCGCCCTGAATGAAGCAAATTAGGATGCTGTTCCTTTGGGCTTCGGAAACCCCCATACCCTGCACTTTCGTGGACTCATCGGCCATACATCCAAGCCAGAACATCAACGTCAGTCTTTTATGTGACTTAGAATCCTCTCCCACCCCTGCCACGACCGCGTCCCCTTCCCCTACCCCTAGGCCCTCCGCGACCACCACGTCCACCACGGTCAGCTGCCTCCTTCCTTGCCTTGTTCTTCGGCTTCGGTGCGTCATCGATGAGGAGTGTGTCGAGTGGAAGGCTGTCGGGAAGAATTATGTAACGAACAGTTGAGCCGCGGACGGTCATTGCGTCGAGGGCGACGGTATCTCGGTCTTTGGGGGTTAATTTGGCGGAGCGCATTGCGATGTTCATTTTTGGGTTTACGGATGCGACGGTGCCGTGGACGATGGCGCCTGGGGTGTCCGGTTAGCGTGTGGTTCTGTATCATGAAGGCCATGCGATCAAGAACCAGCAAAGCTCTAAATGGGCAGTGCGTGGATGTAGTGACGGATGCGATTCGTAAAGCGAGGGTTTGCGATCCCACAATTGGCCCCGCACGACCGTCGCGCGGATAGCGAGAAGCTTCAACAAAGAAAAGGCGGGGTATACCATTCTTTAGCTCAACTGTGACCGTCTCATTCTGGCATTTCATCAAGAACCTGCGCCCTGGAGTTAGCCAGGATCTTCCTCGTCTTGATCGGCGCGGGGAGTTACCGAACAAGCTTCATGCTGGGTAGTCTGTAGACAGACACAATTCTAAGACTGAAATTATCGGCCGCGAGATGAGTGGAGAGTGGTATTTACGCCCGCGGTAGTAATGAAGAAGTGGAGGGGAAGCTCTCGGAGCTACTTGGGATTTTAGGCTGCCAAGCGCGCTAGCGGATAATCGTTGTTCCAAAGGTCACGTGCGCTACAAAAACAATGGAGGCCATGGTGGGCCAGGATAAGCCACAATAAGCCACGATAAGCCACGATAAGCCACGATAAATTTGTATGGTATCGTGCAATATCCACGGATAACGTACTTGACGGGCGAGTTGCTCACACACCTGAGTCGCTTACTTTTGCCAAGACCCCACTAAACTACCCTTTCTACACTAATGCATTCCTAACAACACTACTTAGACGCGCTAAAAGAACGTTAGATACAGCTTACACTCTAAGCTTTTAAATAAGATATAAAACTCTTAAAAAAACATGCTGCAGCTATATATAAAGTCTTTTAAAAGATAATAAATAACTATAGCACTAAATAACTTTTATAAGCTAATTCTATAGCTAACTTATAAAGGCTAGGTAATAAAAAGAAGCAGATAATTATTAAGACTATACTTAAGCTATATGCGCAAGGATTTTCCTCTTAGATAGCATTTATAGCTAATATAGCTAATTCTTTGCGCACTAAGCGTAATCTAGGCTATATTAGCATAAACTAGCCTAGTACGTTTAGGAAGTGTTATTTAGACCTTAAAGTAACATTTACGCGTAGTACAACTATAAAAGAGCTCTCTATAAGGGTTCTAGAGTAATTTAGAGCAGGTTTAGCCTTATAAAGAATATTAAAGCTAAGTATAGCATCTAAGATAATAACATGTACAACTTTAGCAAGATAGGCTTTATTATAGGCTAAATATCTATTAACTATACTTGCACTTAAAACTTTACTTTAAGCTTTAAATAACACTTTATAAACATACTAGGCTAGTTTATGCTAACATAGCCTAGATTATGCTTAGCGCGCAAAGAATTAGCTATATTAGCTATAAATGCTATTTAAGGGGAAAATCCTTATACATATAGCTTAAGTATAGTCTTAATAATTACCTGCTTCTTTTTATTACCTAGCCTTTATAAGTTAGCTATAGAATTAGCTTATAAAGGTTATCTAGTGCTATAGTTATTTATTATCTTTTAAAAGACTTTATATATAGCTGCAGCACATTTCTTTAAAAGTTTTATGTCTTATTTAAAAGCTTAGAGTGTAAGCTGTATCTAATGTTTTTTAGCGTGTCTAAGTAGTGTTGTTAGGAACGCATTAGTGTAAAAAGGGTGGTTTAGTAGGGTCTTAGCAAAAGTAAGCGACTCAGGTGTGTGAGCAACTCGCCCGTAAAGTACGTTATTATAAAACACTAATACTAACGTGTTCATAAGCGAGTGGACCACCCAAGTGAGCGGACCAGCAAACCCTGCTAAAACGCCTGCGCAGCAACACGTAATGCATTAACAACACAGGCATCACCGCCCCGTAACACTTTTACTAGATAGCCTATAAGCTTTCATTAAGCTGCGACTTAACTATATAAAGAATTTAAATAACATTGTTAAATAGTAGGCTTTGCTTAATTAAGTCTAGTCACATGTATAGTATTACTACCTAGTAGCTATGACATATGCTTTTATATATTAAGCCCCTCAAAGCCAAGAGGTGGATGAGTGAGACTGGGTAGGAGAACATGTCCTCCAAGATATGATAGACCCCCTTTACGAAAGGACAAGGAGCAGAAATGGATAACCTAGCTACACAGCAATTAAGAGTAATAAACTGCCTTCTGAATGAAGGCAGCCTGTGGCTCGCGTTATCGATAGCCGATGCTGTTTACTAAGCGACACCCAATTCACCTTGCAACATTGCACGTCATGAACGAAGTCATGTAGGAGCATTAAGTTGAGACGCCATCCAGCCCTCAACCTCCACCATTTCTATCCTCGTCTTTGCGACCACCCATCGCTTCTCATGGCCCCGCCTCCTTCTTTCACGGCGCTCCCCACCGAGACCCTAGAGGCTATCTTCCAGCACCTCGACCCGCGCTCGCTCGTCTCTGTTTCGCGCACGTCCAAGCACATCAAGCAGATCACGTTCGATTCTCCCGTTATCTGGCGGCACTTCTGCCGTACCCATTTCAAGTTCTGGGCGGTGCACCACAACATCTCCGAGAAGTTCGCGGGGCCCCTCTCTGATGTCGACTGGCGCGAGCTGTTCATATACCGCATGCACATTGAGAAGCGTACCACGCAGTTGTTAAACAAGGTCCTACAGAGGCAGCAGGGGCGCATACGGTATATCAATGAGATTGCTGACTTTGGAGATGATGCAAAAGAAACGCTGCTACAAGAGGGCGCCTGTCCTGACGACGCCGAGGACGTATTAGCGAGGCGGTACTACGCGAATGCCATCCTTGAGCGCATCCAGCGGGAGAGAGCAATCCGAATCTGGAAGGGTATATCCAATGGTGCCGACATCTCACTCGAGGAGGCGCTTGGTGCCTACGACTTATTCACCCGCGCTGGCGACCATGTCGACCTCGACACCATCACGTCCGACCTAGACCGTCTTGCCAGAGAACTGCTCCAAGAATATCAGGGCTTCACGCAGTTCAGTACTCGGCGACAAGCAGAAGTTCTGGCCTGGTTCCTCCGGGACAAGGGGTTTCAGGGAGTCCCCAATCCGTCATACCGTGCTCTTCGCAACTCATTCATCGGACTGGTCCTACAATCCCCTGATCACGAGTCATTGCCCTTGGTCTCGGTCGCCATATATTGCGCTCTAGCCCGACGTGTTGGCCTTGATGCTCGCCCATGCGGCTTCCTCTTCCACGTCTACTGTCTCATCTACGCCCCTAAAGATCACACCCTTAATGGAGACTATAGTCCGACCAACTCGACTGAATTGGACTCTATGTACATTGATCCATTCCGCTCCACCAGCGAGGTGGACCAGGGAGATCTCGAGAGAATGCTGCAAGAAATGGGGGTTCCAAATTCAGAACACGATGCGTTTCTCTCCGACACGACCACGCAGGAATTAGTTTTACGCACCGCACGCAACATCATGAACTCGGTGCAGACTATCCGGCAGCAAGATGCAGGCATCTACGGCGTTCACTCTATCTGGCTGAACGAGTATCCAGATATGGACAATGCATTCTATGCAGCATTGTGGGCGATGCTTATGCTCGGACCGCGGGAAGAGGAGCAAAGCGGCAGTTTATCCAATATCTCTACTCGCCGACGCCAATACCTTCCCTATCTCCTGGAACATTTTCAGACACATTTCCCTTGGGACGTCACCCTCCTTGAGCAGCACGTAATCCCTCTTTTCTACAATCAACCCGAAGGTCAGCGTCTCCTTGCTTTCGTGCATTCAATGCATAATCTAGACAGCATGCGCAAGCCAACAAACGCCCGAAGCACCCCAACAACGCAAAGAGTCAAGTTTCACGTCGGCCAATCGTTCAAGCATAAACGGTACCATTATGAAGGTGTCATCACAGGCTGGGACACCTCGTGCGACGCAGGCGAGGAGTGGATCCAGCATATGGGCGTTGACAGACTTACCAATGGCCGCAACCAGAGTTTTTATCATGTCCTGTACGTCATCTTCCCTTCCCCCTTTCCTTCCTTCGAAAACTAATAGTAACAAAAGCGTCTGCGACAAATCCGTCCGCTACGTCGCCGAAGAAAACATCGCCCCTGTATCCCACTCTACTCAACCTGGTGAAGCCATGCTCCGCCTTGCAGGCCGTTATTTCAAGCGCTGGGACTCCGACGCCCATACCTTTGTGAGTAATGTCCGGGACGAGTACCCTGATGATTGAATCTGAGGTGGGCTTATGACTCTGTCTTTTCTTAGGTCGATCATGTAGGAGGTAGGTCTTGTGCAGATGACTTTTATGTGTAGGATTGGGGTAGAGGCGGATGTTATTGAAATTGAAAAGAAGGGAACAAAAGATCAGAAGAATTGATACCCACGTTCGTTTCTTAGTGTTGTCTTAATTCCAGTGCATGGCTTGCCTAGGATCCACGTTTTGATTCATTTCTCGATGATATTAATAGTGACATAATCCAGTCACTAGGACACTTATGTAACGGCGCAGGCAAGACAGTAGGTCTGAATGCGGTGTGAATCCACTCAGACGCATATGGGAGTGCGTGGAGACTTAGAAATCTGGGAATTCTATTAACACCTATAGGATTTATACAAAAGGATATTAGAAAACTACTAAGCTAGCTAAGAGGAGAGGTGCAGCTAAATGCTTAGAGATAGGGGTAGCGCAGGGGGCAGGGCAGGGCAGGGCAGGGCAGGGTTGGGGCAGATACGTGGAACCTTTAGATATAAGTTTGTTAGGTAACATGCCCCACAGGCGAGTTGCTCACACACCTGAGTTGCTTACTTTTGCTAAGACCCACCACAACGCACTCTATTATTTCGCGAGCGTTAGCCAGTGAAATCTATAATCAACTCCCTATACTAGCTTCTCTGTTGTTGTTCTAGGAATAAAAATGCCTTAGCTTAAAATAATTTCCTAATTTAAACATTACTAAACATTAAAATTTACATAAACTTTAGTAAAGAACTATACTAAGCCTAACAGCGTAGTAGCTAAGGCTTAGATATAGTTATTCTGCTCTAAATTCTTTTATAAAACTTACATTATTGTTTTTTTACTTTTACAGTAACATATCTAAACTATAGCTTATATTTTAGTCTTTTTTCTTTATAATAAACACTCTCTGTAATTTTTTATAGTATCTATACACGTGTAGCATTGCACTAACTAGTGTACGCTCTGTAATATCTGTGTGTGCGCTTGCCTACGTCTTTATATTACCTAAACTAGTATTAGGCTAATAATATTTATTGTAAACTAAACTTTAGTTTTACTTATTAACACTTTTACCTAACTCTTATAACCCTTCTACTCTTAGTTGTACAGCTATAACGCCTGCGTTAGCTAACTTTAATTACTGCTCTGTTAATAGAAAACTAAAGAAGCCTACTAAAAACAAGTTTATAAATAGTAAAAAGAAGAACTAATGTTATTATTACTACTTACTAGCTATAAATGCCTATATATTTACTTTTATATTGCATAGGATTTATATTCTAACATATATTATAGTGTTTAAAGATTAGTTGCTCTTCTCTTTTAAACTCTATGTAAGGCCGGATGTTCTAGAACTGGCTAGAATGGCCTCCCCTAACCTGTTTGAAGGTCACATGACCTGTGCTTCGTATATAAGCATGAATCCTAACAAGCGAGGCTTGGCAGCGATTCGTCTCTCTTACAATACACTTCTATCTTTCTCTAAACCCTTGCTCTTAATGCTATTCATGCTACCTACTATTGTATCTTTACAGCGCCTTACTGTCTCTTGTAAACTGTAGCTTATTGCAGCGCCTATTATAGTTTATAATTATCTTAAACCTCTACTTTCTAATAGTTCTTAGAGTACTAGGTAGATTTATAGTTCTCTCTACATCTTTAGTAGAGTTCTTAGTTAAGTTGTTTCTTAATGTCTATAGAGGTTAACTCTATTTTTATGTTATAAGCTTTTAGTACTGCTAAAGTATTTTTATTATCTATCTTCTTAAGGGCTAAACATTTTTAATAAAAGTAGCCTACTTTTTTATAATTTAGATATGCTTTTCTTTTTAATATTTTCTTCTTCTTTATTATAAAAGGTAGTTATAAAGGCCTATTTTTATTTAAAGACTATTTATATATCTTCTATGTTATATCTTTAGTTTTACTTAGATCTATTAGCTTACTATTATAAAATAAGCTTTTCTTCTTTTTTATTAAGAATAGTGTCTTTTAACTAGCATTACCTTTTCTTTTTCTTTCTAAGTCTCTTTTATAGAGTTTATTATTATACATAGTTACTACTTTAATAAATTCTTTAAGTCTTTCTAGTTTCTTTATATAGAAGAATTTATCTTTAATTTATTTGTTTAGTCTTTTATAAAACATCTTGTATAGTAATTTTTAATCTTTTTATCTGCACTAAGCTTATGTTACAATCTGTTACAATCTTTACTTCGAAGAAATGGTGTCTAAAGAACTCTAGGCCTGGGAGGAGATTAGGTGTTTGAAAGAGGAAGGGAACTTAGTCTGAATAGGTGTACAGTCTGTTAGAGCGTAGTTACTACGTGTTTTAGTGCAGCTAACTATAGTTTACCCTTTAACAGCAGTATAAGGTGCTTAGGTTAAACAGTTTCTTAATAGAAACAAAATAAAAAGTATATGTAGTGTAAGATATATAATTAGATTACTTCTTATTAAAAAGTAGTAATGCTACTTAGTCTATATAGTAATAAACTAAACTTTAATTACAACTTCTAAGTATGTTTAGAATTTTAAACTATATACATAAGGTTGCATGCTCTGCATGCTTTGCATGTCTTACATGCTTGTATCTGCATAGCGTGCATAGCATGCATAGCATGCAAACGCGCCTTGCTTATTAGACAACGCACTTAGCTGTGCATTAGTTTAAGAGCTTAGCCTATTCCTTATCTATTAAGTCACGTGACTTGTTAGATAGGAAAATAGAGAAACTTTATCTTTGTTTATTTAAATAGTAGGGCATAAAGAGTTAGCAGCTTATAGTCTAATTATAGGTTATAACCTGTAGGCTTTTCTCCCTACTAGCGTTCTTACTGTTCTACTTACACTGTTGTAAGCATTAGAGTTCCCTTTTATCTAGTAGGTGCCTTTCTATAAACGTTTTACAGATGTCTATTCTTTTTAACTATACCTTGCTAGTGTTCTTATTTGTCTAGTCCTACACACTGTTTACGCACTATTGCTTACCTTAATCCTCTTTGTTGTACAAAGATGCAGCTATGTATGTAACAGCACAGGCAAGACAATGGGTCTGAATGCGGTGGGAATCCACTCAGAGGCATATGGAAGTGCGTAGGGACTTGGAACCTGGGAATGCCATTAACACCTATAGGCCTTGTACAAAAGGATATTAGAAAACTACTGAGCTAGCTACAGGGGCGAGGTGCGACTAAATACATAGAGGAATAGGGGTACAGCAGGGGGCAGGGCAGAGTCGGGGCTAGGTCGAGTCAGGGTCGAGCCAGGGTCGGAGCCGATACGGGGACCCTTCGGATAGGTTCCGGGCGACCCGAGATGGGACGATTCCTAAGAATCGTTACAATGTAGTCCTTATTACTTAAGTAGCTCTTCTTATATCTTAACTTTATTATTAGACAAGTGTGTAGAATGTGTAAAAAAAAGTAGTTACTACAACACTTTTATTTCTAATACTATATAAGATTGCCTAGAAAAGAAGTGTAAAAAGCTTCTAAAGAAGGTTTAGAACACTTATCTTTAAAAAAAAGCAAAAAAGCAACTTTAAAAAGGTAGAGCGTTATGTCGCGTATACTAAGAGCCTTGGCTGGGGCTTAGAGCCTGGGACTGGGGCTTAGAGCCTAGGACGCAGCTCGGGATCTGGAGATATTATGTTCTAAAGCTTAGTGTATATAAGGAGAGCCTTCAGCTCTCTTAGATAGCAGAGTCACTTTATCTAATCTTCTAAACAGCTACTGCTAGGCTATTTTATCCTCTATAGTTATAGGCCTAGCGCTTTAAGAACCTAGGATAATTCTTCTTATATAACTATAGCGCTAGTAAAAGCTGTTTAGAAGCTTTATTTTTTATTTTTATTAATCTTTATTACCTCTAAAGCCTACATTATAGCTAATTAAGATGCTTCTCTTTTAACAGGAGCATACTTGTTAGATTAAAGCACTGTTTCTAGGCTTCCTAAGATGAATGATGGGTTTGGATATGATGTATGGGATGATTGATTGATTGTATTGATTGTCTTGTTTTATTGATCCTTTTTCTGCTCTACTTGTGTTGCTCGGCTTTTGTTTTTTCCGATCCGAGTCCCTCGCGCACTAGCCCTATGCGCGACCAGCTTGCAACATGCTGCAAAATGCTGCAAAATGCTGCAAAATGCTGCAAAATGCTGCAATTTGCAGCAACATACTGTTCGAGCTTATTGCTCGTACTATGTAGCAGCTTTTGTCAAACGTTCCTCCTGTCTTGACAGTAGGTGCGCATATCTGACACACCCCTCAGCTTGGACATGCTTCAAGCTGGTTCCCGATTGCGCATCCTTAGTATGCTTCCAGGGCTTCCATTCTTGCTTCAATCTCTTCCATATCCGCTTCCTGACTGACTATCCTCTCCCTGACGTCAACTAGCTAAATTTGCTAAAGAAAGCTTGGCTATTTGCTGGCTAGAAGCGCTTTAGTGAGTCTGTCCGCAAGCATCTTGCTAGAGGGGACATAGACAACCTTAATTATTTGTTAAGAGACTTTCTGTTAGAGCTAGTGGTTATAGATGTTAACATGTTAGAGCTTAGTTTAAAGTTAAGATATCTCTTTATTTACTAGTTAGATTATCTGCTTGTTGTTGCACTAGATTATAATAGTTAAATTAGGCATCTTAACCTGCAGTTTATTAAGGAGCATTCTTATAAACATAGCTTCCTTAGTAACTTAGAATAGTGCAAGTAATTCTGCTTCTGTTATTAATGTTGTAACTGTATTTTGTTTATTTACTTACTATACAATTTATTTGCTAAATAGTTAAATAATATAGCCCTAAAAGCTCTTCTTATCTAGTGTATTATCTATAAATAATGCATTGCTTGCTACTACAAAGTAGTCTTCTTCTCCTAATTAGAGTGCGTACGTCTGTGTCGCATGTAGGTACAGGATGGCTTAATTAGCTGCATCCTAATAGTTAGATGCAGGATTTGTGAGAAACTGTGCAAGGCGTGATGTAGTAAAGGCAATGTCTAGTCTTATAGTAACTGCTGTAAAAAGTAGAGATCTAATTTTCTGCTAATATTAATTTACTTCTAATAGGGTTATAAAACTAGATTGCGGCATAAGTTTAATCCTACTTATAGGTGTAGTGTGCTGTAGGTCTTTTCTA